TTTTTTTTTCAAAAAGTTATTCAAGAAACTATTTTTCAAATCGGTCCAGCTCATGTAAATCTTAATATTATTCCGAAATATTTTGGTGGACGTCTTCAAATATAACAAGTTTTGTAATCCCGGCGGAAAAACCGCCCGCCACTTTTTTTGGTGACGCAGTCTAATGTACATTAGGGTGAATCACCAAAAAAGTTGCGGGTTTTCCACTTGCGCGAAAATATTTCGGGAAAATATTAAGATTCTATTAATATTACATTTAAGATTAAGAATAAGTTTAAGATCAAGATTAAGATTGAGGTTAAAATTAAAATTTATATTAAGATTGAGATTAAGATTAAGATTGAGCTTGAATTTTGGATTGAGATGAAGATTGGGATTAAGATTAAGATTAATATTAAGATAAAAGTTAAGATTGAGATTGAAATTGAAATTAAGATTGAGATTAAGATGAAGATATAATTAAAATTACGATTGGGATTAAGATTAAGATTGAGATTGAGATTAAGGTCAAGGTTAAGATGGGAAAAAAATAAAAGTTAAGATTAAAATAAAGTGGATCATTAAAACAAATATAAAGACAAAGACAAATTTTCAAATAAAACATTTCATATCTTACTTTAGTTAACACAATTCACTTGTGAAATCGTTAAATTTTTTTTCTACTAATTATATGGGGCGAATTCCTGTTTTCGAAGGAATTGGAAAATTTTCAGTTCTTACAAAAACCAATTTTTGACCCAATACCTCGAGAACATATACTTTAAAAAAAAGTAGGGTATAAGGTAGTGAATTTAATAACTTTTAATTTTATACACATAACACTTCGTTTGACGGATCATTCAGGTATTAACTACCTTGACGATTGACCTTTTGTTTAATAAAAAACCGTAATTTGTCGATGTGATGAAAAAAGAATGACAGAAAGGAAATATTTGTAAATAACTATTTTTAAAAAGCGGTGCGTAGCCAATTTTTCGTGAACTTCATTGGCTGTAAACTTGTGATATTAATTGAAATGTATATAAGATCCATACAAAAAAAGATCACCCTAGCCACTGGCTACAAAACATCAAACTCTTTTTTCATAATTAGTTTATTTATGACCCAATTTTTGGATGTGTATCCTCATTGAAAGGTATGTTTGAGAGCTATGCATTTCTTTAAGATCATGGAAAACGTTATTGTTTAAAAAATTTTATATTTTATAGGACAATTCAGGTTACTAAGGCGTACTTAATAATGTACATATTTTAGACTTTGCCAGAGATCCAGCACAGGTTCTAGGTAATAGCCCATTTCCACCAAGAGCTTGACTGCAGTTAAGTGCTCAGATAAGTTCCAATTAATTTCTTACTTTTGCTCTTTTGTCTTAATTTAATTTTACTTATTATTAGCGCAATTACCCCGTTCGAGTTGTAATCTCATTTTTAAAATATGCATAAACTGCAGTTAAAGCTTGGTGGAAATGAACTATACAAATTTTACCAGCTTGTAGTTAAAACGTTAATCTTACTTTGAACTGTGTGCACATGTTGAAAAAATTTTTACTCTCTTTTGTATTTTCTCTTTTTGCAGTCAACTGTCTGCCTTATCCATAACATCAGTTCCAGCCGAGAACTATGCATTTGGCATCAATCAAATTTTTCTTGTGTTTTCCATGTTTGTGGTGGCGCCATTAATATGCTACGTTATAACGCCAGTATTCTACGAGAATAATATATCCAACTGCTACGAGGTAATGTTTGAAACTTATTCTTCCTTTTTCTTTTCCTATCTCCTTTATATAGGAAATTACATTGGTTATTCATGCCAAGTTTTCGTTTGTCCATCCAGTTTAAAATATAGTAAGATCAATCGATTTCTACCATCAAAAATAAATAAGGATGGGTTAAGGGCCCGCTTTGACAGTGTTATTCCCACAAGGAGAGATTTACTCGAAAAGCTGATTCTCTCTTTCATCGCACTTGCTGCTGTTCCTCTCCGTTTTCCACCATAAACCACAAGACCAGCCCCCTTCCGCGGAGGTGGTGGCAACATAGAGTCACATGGAAAATACGGAAAAGCAACCGCAAACTATTTCTACACATTCTTGCCCTTAAGCTCAACCTCGCAGCAGGCAAGGCCTTAAACAGATTTTCAAAAGTTTTATCACTGTAAAATGTCCTGTAAAATCACAAGTCCTCCGTCTGACCGCGATTTTATCAAATAGAATATTGAGTTCACATAGGTAATCCAGTCCATGATATTTAAACACCCGGAGTTCCTGAATCGCTGCTATGTTGGGTTTCTCAAGCAGCAGGGTTAGCCGTTGATATATAAGATAACTACCCACCTCAGATTGATGCAGGTTTATTTGGATGGCAGACCTTACTGGTACTACCACCAAAGTGAAAACGGCCATCTCTGCACAAACTTCCGCCACGCCCGCACTCCCAACGCAGCGTTAAAACCCTTCCAAAAATCATTGTCTCATTTCAAGAAGCATTCAGTAATTCAGTAAGGACAAAGCCAATCAAGCCCCTGATGCCAAGGCGGCCATTGGCAGATAACTGCTTACTGTCAGAATAAAGAGAGAAGTCGATCCTTATACACAATAACTCGAGCAAAAAACGAAATGGTATTGAATTAGGTGGTAACCACGCATAACTTCCATATAGCGGTATTTCCCGCAAAAACCGAATGCAAATTGTTGGAAGTTGGAATGCGATGAATTTTTACATAAAATAAGATACCGCGCCCATCCCCCATATAACGGTAATTTACAGATATACGAAAACTGCGATAAATTAGTAACTACCGAAGCTCTTTCACTGAAAATCGATGTTTTTGCAGTAAATCATAATTTTCTGGAAAACGGGCGTGGTACCGCCCAAACACAGTGCCTCGTTGAGGGAGCCGATTTTGTCAATAGGGAGCGGGGAAATTGTTTTCTGAGCAAACTTTTTATTATTTAATCATGGGTACCGCCTACTTAAGACTATTTAAGTAGATGGGTATATACATATAAACCGATAACCGGTTTATCAATTTCTACCAAACTCGGAACAGTTATTGCCCTTGGTACAAAATAGGAATGAGTCAATGGAAGCTGTGCGCATATTAGGTTCGCTTGCGCCTAGGATCGGTATACCCATTTTTTTACTATTTACCCAATTTATTTTTAAATTTTTTCCATTTTGAAATACCTTCTACGTAACCTGTCCTATCCTGAAATCTATCCATACATAAATACATAGTATGGGTACTCTCTGAGTCTTGCAAAGCCCTTGCACGGTGCACGGATTGCACGGGATATGGGATTGCTGTCCCATACGAAAACCGGTTTTTACTGTGCAATCTGTGCACCATGCAAGGGCTTTGCAAGACTCAGAGAATACCCCTAGTATATTGTCTTACTCCTGGCATATTGTCATCATTTTAAACACTATTTTTTCTGCTAATATTTATATGTATGTATATATTTTTACAGTATTTAGAGAAGCGTTACAACAAACTCACTCGACAGCTAGTCACCTGTACATTCATTTTGAATGCCTTCCTCCTGCTGCCCGTCGTTATTTTCATTCCATCAATGGCTTTCGCGCAAGGTGCTTAGAAAATGTTTAGTTTTTTATGCATTTCCACCTACATCTTTATGTATGGGTATATGTCAAATCGGTCAATGGTTGGTTTTTGGTTTTCGAAAGTAATACCAAATTCTAAATTTTACAACTTTCGGGATATTTAGTGCTATAAAAAATCAAAAAAAAAATCTAAAAATAAAAAATTTTAGAATTTTGAAATTGAAAAAATCGAAAAAGCAAAAACTCAAACATTTTTGGAACAATCTTTTTATACAATACCTCCAACTGATCCTAAAAGATGCTGANATCTAAAAATAAAAAATTTTAGAATTTTGAAATTGAAAAAATCGAAAAAGCAAAAACTCAAACATTTTTGGAACAATCTTTTTATACAATACCTCCAACTGATCCTAAAAGATGCTGAAATTTTCAAGAAGATGTTTTTTTTTAAGATAGCAATTTTTTAACTTTGAACAAATTTAGTTTTGCTAAACAATTTTCATATAATTCTGATTTATTTTTAATTTATATTTTTTTTTATAACGTAAAATACCACCTTGATCTTTTAAGATCAGTAAGAGGTATTGTATAAAAAAGATTAGCCAAAAAATTATATAGGTTTTTTTTTTTAATATATATTGATACATATAGTCCCAAATATCACTTTTAAAACCATTGTTGTATTTATAATAGTCTTTGAAATATTTAAAAAATAAACTTACAAAATCCGGGGAGTTGTGAAATTTTGACCTTACGAAAAAAAAACTTTTGTTTTTTTTTTGCAAAACGTCGTTATATGATAAAATAAAAGTTCTGACTTAAATTCATCGAAATCAAAAATGGTCGATGCCAACCATTGGTCGATTTCACATGGACCGACAAATGCATATATGTATATAATTAGTATGGATGTACAGTGGCGAAAATATAAATTGTAAATTCTAAAACTGTATACTACAAAAAAGCTCTAAAAAATCGGAATATAAAGTTTTAAATTTTTATGGAAATTTGTTACAAAGTTCGAACTTTTGATTTACATGTTTTTTAGATAGTAAACTAATACAAGTTTTATTTAACAAAAAAAGACCAAAACTTGATAAAATGCCTCTTCCCTATTTACGTTCTCGCCACCGTATCTTGTGTATCTTTCTTGCTTTTTTTAAGTTAAAATTTTTTGTTCCTTTATAGTGACTGGAATTAATATTCATGTTGTCAATGCAGTTGTGTGCTCGATATGTGTTTTTTACACAACGCTAGTAAGTAACTGTTAATGCTGCCGATCTTCAAAATAATAGGTTTGTTCGTCGAGCAAAAAATTTGTACGAATTTGCACGAATTATCACGATTTTTGCCCAAATCGCGTTCGTGCAGACCAAACAATTATCCAACACTCAAAAATTGTGAGAGCAAAGTGACAGTTCTCTTGGAGAGAAGTTGCAAATTCTTGCTGGAAAAAATTTTGCCAGCAAGAATTTGCAAACACGAAAACATGTGGTTGTGGCGCATGGTTGCATTTTTGTCTACAATAATTTGAATAAATTAGTTCGTTAAATTTAAAAATTTATAAACACGAGCGATTTTTTTATGAAAAAAGGAAGTAAATAATTGTTGATATAATTAATTTAGTTAATTCCANTCTGAAAAAAATGGTATTCTCAATCGGAATGCAATTGCAACCAGAGTCGATTTAAGAAACCCGACAGCTNTTTAAGTTAAAATTTTTTGTTCCTTTATAGTGACTGGAATTAATATTCATGTTGTCAATGCAGTTGTGTGCTCGATATGTGTTTTTTACACAACGCTAGTAAGTAACTGTTAATGCTGCCGATCTTCAAAATAATGCTTTGCCAATTTCCTGCCTTACATTTAATCGTTACTTTTAGGGTGGCATTAAAGCCGTTGTATGGACTGATGTGCTACAAGGCGGCATTATGCTCTCATCTGTGGTGTTAGTGGGCATTTTGGGCACCTTTAAAACCGGAGGACTGACCAAAGTTTTTGAATATGCCTCAGAAGGTGGACGCATGGATGTAAAGTAAGTATCAAAGTAGGCAAATGAGAAATATGAAAGAGCATACTCAATAAAGGTAAACAACTAGACGAAGATGAAAGCGTTGATATGAATAGGATTCCGCATCAGTTTGCGGAGGCCTAATATGATAGGTTTGATAGAGGATGTTCACTGCGACCTTGGGTCTATTGTGCCCTTAGAACTCTGGTGCATCCAGTATTTTTATACTCTATTTCTCACCTTTCCACAGCCTCTCTTTGGATCCACGCGTACGCATCACATTCTGGAATTCATTCATATGCGGCACCATGATGTGGACCGGTCATATTGGCCTTAATCAGAGTTGCGTCCAGCGAATCGTCTCCTTGCCATCTTTGAAGCATGCACAAAGGTAAGAACCAAAAGGTTTCGAAGTACGAGGAATAAAAATTGGCAATTCTTAAATGTCCCATCATTTACATGTAGAGCACTTTGGATAGCTGGCATTGGCTTTATTCTTGTGATGGGCTGGAACTGTTTCATCGGCATTGTGATGTACGCTTACTACCATGACTGTGACCCAATCAAAGCAGGCGTATGTATAGTACTTTTCTTCACTCCTATCCTTCATGCAACTATATACGTACATTAGGGTGGTTCTTAAAATCAAATGAACGATTTTTTTCAGTCTCACCCCTTCAATCGGTAATACCACGGTCACAGATATCACATACAAATTTTNATACTTTTCTTCACTCCTATCCTTCATGCAACTATATACGTACATTAGGGTGGTTCTTAAAATCAAATGAACGATTTTTTTTCAGTCTCACCCCTTCAATCGGTAATACCACGGTCACAGATATCACATACAAATTTTGGTCGCGATTGGAGACGGTTAAGTCGTATCGCACAGGGGCCAAAATTCAGACTCCTCTATAGAGACTCAAAAAATTAAAATTAATTTTTTTGCCAACTCATACCCAAAACCGATACTACCGTAGTCGAAGATATCACATATAAATTTTGGTCCCGATTGGAGTTGTTTAAGGCGTGTTGCAAAGGGGTCAAAGACCAGCTACCTCTAAGGACTCAAAAATTAAATTTTTTTTTTTTCATTCAATTCCCAAAATCGATACTACTAAAGTCTAGGATATCACATATAAATTTTAGTTCCGATTGGAGTCGGTTAAGGCGGATTCATAGGGTAATCTGAATTTTTGACCCCTGACCCCTGTGCGCCACGCCTAAACCGACCCCCATCGGGGCCAAAATTTATATGTGATATCATCGACTATAGTAGCATGGACGTAGGGATTGAGGCTGAGGTAATCTGATGTAAACATTCGTTTTCTACATTTGAGGACCGCCCTAATGTACATATACATATATTCGTTTGACCTCTAGCTTGCTCCTCTTCTCTTTCATTAGCTGGTCAACAAGCCGGATAAAATGGTGCCATTCTTTGTGCAGGACATCCTGGGTCACCTAATGGGCATGCCCGGCCTCTTCATTTCCTGCGTCTTTAGCGCCGCGCTCAGCTCCATGTCTGCCACGCTAAATTCCATGGCTGGTGTAGTTTATTTCGATTATATCCGTCCGCGCATGAAGGAGTACCACACAGAGGCGCGCGCCAATTTTATAATGAAGTTAATTATTGTGGCAATGGGTNTGACGGTTAAGTCGTATCGCACAGGGGCCAAAATTCAGACTCCTCTATTGAGACTCAAAAAATTAAAATTATTTTTTTGCCAACTCATACCCAAAACCGATACTACCGTAGTCGAAGATATCACATATAAATTTTGGTCCCGATTGGAGATCTTTTAAGGCGTGTTGCAAAGGGGTCAAAGACCAGCTACCTCTAAGGACTCAAAAATTAAATTTTTTTTTTTCATTCAATTCCCAAAATCGATACTACTAAAGTCTAGGATNTGCAAAGGGGTCAAAGACCAGCTACCTCTAAGGACTCAAAAATTAAATTTTTTTTTTTTCATTCAATTCCCAAAATCGATACTACTAAAGTCTAGGATATCACATATAAATTTTAGTTCCGATTGGAGTCGGTTAAGGCGGATTCATAGGGCAATCTGAATTTTTGACCCCTGACCCCTGTGCGCCACGCCTAAACCGACCCCCATCGGGGCCAAAATTTATATGTGATATCATCGACTATAGTAGCATGGACGTAGGGATTGAGGCTGAGGTAATCTGATGTAAACATTCGTTTTCTACATTTGAGGACCACCCTAATGTACATATACATATATTCGTTTGACCTCTAGCTTGCTCCTCTTCTCTTTCATTAGCTGGTCAACAAGCCGGATAAAATGGTGCCATTCTTTGTGCAGGACATCATGGGTCACCTAATGGGCATGCCCGGCCTCTTCATTTCCTGCGTCTTTAGCGCCGCGCTCAGCTCCATGTCTGCCATGCTGAATTCCATGGCTGGTGTAGTTTATTTCGATTATATCCGTCCGCGCATGAAGGAGTACCACACAGAGGCGCGCGCCAATTTTATAATGAAGTTAATTATTGTGGCAATGGGTTGCTATTGTGTGGCGGGCGGCGCGGTGGTGGAACATTTCGACTCAATCATGCAACTGGTCATAACCAGCACTGGCATCAACACCGGATCTGTGGTAGGCGTTTTTCTGTTGGGTATGCTGGTGCCACGCACCAATGGCAAGGTGAGTTGTTGCTACGTGTAAATGGCACTTTATCGAATGCGAATCTTATTTAATCGTATGCTTTTCCAATGTCAAAGGTGGCGGTGGCTTCGATTATATTCAGTGTAGTAGGCATGTTTTGGATCATTATAATTGGTCAAATGCGTGCCAAAGAAGGTGCCGTGCAATATAAGCCATTATCCAGCAGTATTGAGGGATGTGCGGCACACAATCTACAAGTGGTGATGGAATCTATGTAAGTTTAGTATATTTATGAAAAGAAGTATGTGTATATGTGGAGTAAAGATCAGAGAGTGTAACAAACACTCCGATATGGTGCTCAACTTTCGATCGTTATCGCGTAGACATCTTTTACATTAAGCAAAGTAGAATGGATAATTAGCGAAGTGGCACGAGCCCCAACTTAGCGCTCGCGAAATCAGCTGATCTAGTCTAAAAATACCTTGAAATCGCGCCCATCTCTTCGGAATATATCTAGGCTCGAGTTTAAATAAACTGGATGGTGCATCGGGTATCTTATGATCAAAAGTCACCGATATCACAAGTGAAATCTAAGCAGCTGCAAAAAAAATAATGCTCAATTGATTCCGAACATCGTTCTTTTTGGAAGTACTTTCTTAGATCAGGTCGTCGCTTATTTTAACCTCACATTTCTCTGCATAAATCATATGAAAATCTTCGCTCCTTTTACGTCATTTGGTCAGACGTAAGTACGTCCAAGCCCCTCATGTGGTTGTAGTTATATGTACATACATGGATATAAACCGATCCTCAGATATTTCATATTATAAACATATAGATAGTCCCGGGCTATTTCTTCTAAACTGGTCGATAGCCATTAATCTACGGAATTCTACAATTAATTTGAAAAAGTTATCTTCTACGTAATACATACATACATATGTATGTACTATGGGTAGTACCAATTTTTTATTAATTTGAATATCTTATTTTTATTCTCTCCAGTTCCACCACGAACGACCTTGCACTACAAATGCTCCCTCAGCATATCGAAGAGCCCAAAGTCACGACCGCTTTTGGTAGCAATCGAGAATTTTCCATTTATGAGATATCCTTTTATTGGTATAAGGTAATTGGAGTTCTACTCGTTTGGTTATTAGCCATTCCGCTCAGCTATATTTGGCGTCGCGATGAGGAGGAGAAATTTAATCCACATCTTTACTCGCCATTCATAAGACGTTTTCTTGGGAAACGCTTATCCGTCGAAATGGAAGAGCTACCATTGAAAACACCAATTCCAGTGGATGAGCTGAAAAATGATCTTGAAACAACTATTTCAATGGCGGAGAAATAGATGAACTACAGTTGGAGATAATTTATGTTATATTTAAGTTATAAACCACTACTGCGGCAATAAATAAGTAGTTGTATTACCTTAGACATACATATGTGAGTACGAGTAAGAAAATAAATAAAATACATTTTAAATAATCACATAGAGTAGAACTCCCCAACCAGCTATTCATTTAGAAATTTCTACATCAATTCAAAATGTAGAAATTAAACAGCAACGGGCAAGGCGTATTTAACAGGTGATAGCAGCACCCTTTTATTTTCCTTCGCCTCACGGCTTCATATGTCATATGATGAACTACAGTTGGAGATAATTTATGTTATATTTAAGTTATAAACCACTACTGCGGCAATAAATAAGTAGTTGTATTACCTT